GGTTCGTTGTAGGGTATTCACATATGCTACACACAGCTAAGTAATAAAACAATGGAAGTTGGGTAAGCGCACACGCCATGAGTAAAGGAGTGAGGGCAAGGGAAATGAGATAGTTTTTTGGTCAACAGGATCTATACACAATCTTGCACTTGCTGCATTCAATTGAAACAAAGATGTCCGGCAACAACTTTGATAAAAAAAACTGTGTTCAAGAAGGATCAAAGTTTTCTTTGCAGAATAGTGATATCATGGTTTGGAGTGACAAATATACCTTTCCTTGTTAAGTATGGTTTAGAATCTGATAGGATGACTGATTAACCATATTATAGGAAATTTCAAAGTCACGAGATTTGGCATTGGCTTGATGATTGATATGAATAACAGCTAACAAGTACGACTTTCAATTGGGCTTTATGAGTCGAGTTTTGGCAAAACTCACAAAAGAAAAAAAGGATTTTCGAAATTTTGAATTTCGGGTTTTAAACTTATATTCTAATGTTCATATTCAACTCACAAATATATTAGGGTTTCGGGTCTATATTAGGTTTAGTCCAAGTTCACGATTAATACACAATTATATATGTTATATGTTTCATTTTTGTATTATTATATAATCATGTACAACATTAATTTGTTACATTACAATATGTATAGTTATAGATTTTATGCATTATTTTATAAATTTTATACATACATATGAATTTTATACAGCCCTACTAACAAACGCAATATTTTCGACCAAAATGGTGCCAAGTGGGCTAGCAATTTTGTGTAATCTGGGTTTTGGACTCAGTTTTTTTAATAGTTTAAACATGAGGGTTCGAATGCTAAACTTCTTATTTATACTCCTCCTCTTTGAACCATCCAACCCCATCCCTCCTCTCCCCACCTCCAGGACTTTTTTTTTTTTTTTTTTTTTTAATAAAATGTGTAGATGGGAGGGTTCGAATCTGGAACCTCTTACTTACACTTCTTCCTTTCGAATCACCCAACTCATCTCTCCCCTAAGGACTCACTTATTTGATTAAGTGTACAATAACATATTTAATATATTTTTGGTAATTCAAATATATAATTCCAAAAGTTTGCTTTGCATGTATAAACACTAAAGAGTCACTTTGTGTGTGTTTTTGTTTTTATTTTTAATAGGTAGAGTTACGACTTCATGAAACAACTGATAGTACAACTTCATACTGAATTAAATCTGAAGAAGAATAAAATCCATTTATTCGACAACCGAAATTGACCCAAGGTTACTGACTCAGCTTATTTCAAAAGCTCTGAAATAACTTTCTTTTTCATGCATTCTAAAGCAAAATACCTATTTAATTTAGAGTAATTTTATATACACTGATAATGTATATACTATCACCGTTTGATTCATGACATATCTAATTAAGATACAGTTTGGCTAATGAAATCTCTTAAAGCTTTAAAAGCAGCCAGAGAACTAGCAGGGAAACCATGCTTAAAAACTTTGTTGCGTAGTGCTTTTGCTCTCTCATGCAATTCTTCATCACTCATTAGTCTCTCAATGGCTTCAATTATATCATCTTTTGTTGTAATAATTTCAGTGGCCTCATCATCTTCTTGTATTTTATTAAACTAAACTACAACTACACCGTCCTAAGTTTCATTTATGTCAGAGGTCCCTCTAGCCAATTTGGAGAGGCAAATCCACAAGAAATGTGACATGCCATTTATTTATGAATTAATGAATTAATCTTTCGTTCACTGTAAGTATATATATTGACGGGGCTAAAGAAAATAAGAAATATGTAATGCTGACATTATAATGTTCAAGTTTGGATGGATTATTTAAAAGAACTTAAGATATAATAAAAATTCAGCTTGATTATTAATCAAGCAAAACTTAAACAAGAATTTACTAGAGTTGTTCTTAAAATGTATTCCATTATAAATTTTTGGTTTAGACTTTGTTTGGTTAGTTTAAAAATAAATTTTCAACAGATTCTAATCAAGCCAAACTCGTGGTCGTCTACTTAATGCTTATCAAGAAAGAACTGAAAAATTCATAGCAAGAAAATGACCTATCACTCAGTTGAACAGTAAAGGTATTCGCCAGTGGCCTCAACTAATTTTCAACTAAACTTTGTTCAATAAAACTCGTAAAAGCATCATATGCAAAATTGGAGCTACTTGGAAAACCATAACAAAATTTAGAACAAAGAATTGCTGCATTTTTGTGAACCTCTTGATCACTCATAATCTTCACCCTGCCCATTAATTTAGCGTTCAAAATTTGATCGCCCCTAGTGGGCGATGGGCTTGGCATCCCTATGCAGACGGCCTCAACTGTTAAGTACCACCCACAATGTGATAAAAATCCACCTATTGATGGATGGCTTTAAGGATGTACGCGAGCTGAGTCGTAATCGAGTAGCTCGCGAGTAGCTCGGTCAACGGTTTGGCTTGAATTCGGGTTGACCATGTTCGAGCCGAGTCTCGAGCTACTCGATTGTCATTCGAATCGAGTTTCGAGCCAATATTTTGAGGTTCGAGACTTGTCGAGCTACTCGTCGAGTCGGGGTATTTAAATAATATATAAAATGACCATTATGGGTATAAGTTTTACGGAATTTACATTCGAGTCGAGTCAAAAAACTTGATTAGATTCGACTTGATAAGGTTTGACTAAAGGTCGAACTTTATCGAGTCGAGCCTCGAGGTTAAAGCGAGTTTTTCGAGTCAAGTTTCGAGTATCGATTTTTTTGTACTCGGTCGAATTCGAGCCGAGCTCGAGCCTAAGTATATATGAGTCGAATCGAGCTCGAGTATAGCAATACTCGAGTTTGACTTGACTCGATTACATTCCTAGATGGCTTAATGTCAATAGTTGGGGTGCCCATCCCCTTATGATCAAGCCCTATCACCAAATTTGCCTTCCACATTTGGGTGGCTTGAACTCGACCCGGATCGAATGACCCAAATCAAAGAGCGGGTCAACTTTTCTAAAGCCCATGCTAACTGGGTACATTCTTCTTCCGCACGATCCACTTCACTACCAAAGGCTACATATCGGACAGATTTGCACGATTTTGTATCCAACCATTGCACTACATGCTCTTCACTACAGATGCTGTGGCGCTTGGGCTGTCTAATTTGGGTTTCACTAATTAATTAACGACTTGGGTGGCACCCAAAATTTCTCATGCAGGAATGGCCCCACGGCAAACGGTTGGCATGGCCGTTTGATTAGCCACGTAGTGGATAAATGGATGCTCCAGATCATCACACGTGTTGAACATCAAACAATTGAACCTTTTATTAATGGCATCCATGGTGGTTGATCACCCCGTCTAGGTGGACCGCCAGTACATGGAACCCGTTTAGGATGGCGTGTGAAATCGGAGTATGTATGATGCATAACCTCTAGTAAGTCAGGGATGGTATGCACCTCACCCCGACTACACGCTTTAGCTTGGGATTTCCACGCGCCCTACTCCATGACAGCTGCACACATAATGTATTTGATCCAGTCCATTGGAAAGTCGATTATGGCACACACTAGATGGGCTGAATATGGACCAGTGGACCTACTGCTCAAGTGGGCCTCAAGGTCCAGGCCCACTTGCTCTTGGGCCATGTTGTGTCTAGATAGGGCTGTCAACGGGTCGGGTCCGGGCCGGAATTCATTATTCCGGACCCGGACCCGAATTACTATGCCGGATCCGGACCCGACCCGTTTACCCGACGGGTCTTTTATTCTACGTTCCGGATCCGGATCCGGCGGTCCCGGATCCGGATCCGGGTCTACCCGAATAAATTTACCAAATTTTATAATTTCTAATAAAAATGAGAAAAAAATATACTTGTAAACTAATTTCTAACTAATGCAAAGAAAAAATCAAATAAGAAAAGAAATCAAATTAACTTTATTAAAATACATCACCCTAATCAAATTATATTGATAAATATATATTTTTTAAATTATTAATTCATTTATATCCGGATCCGGGTCTAATACGGGCCGAAATACTATATTCCGTATCCGACCCGTTTTTTTGTTTGACAAAACGGATCCGGATCCGGATCCGGGAAACGGAATTAAATCCCTACCCATACCCGTAATAATTTCCCGAATCCGGTCCGGATCCGGGTCTAGACCCGACCCGTTGACAGGCCTATGTCTAGAGAAGGGTCGGCTGTGCTGAGGAGGGGGTGGTGGTTGAAGGAGGAGAGGACGTAGGAGGAGAGGTTGGAAGGGAGTACAAGGGTGGCCTTGAAGTTTCTAGAGGAGAGGTGTTTGCATGGTTCTATGCAAGGGAAAAGGTGACCAGAACCAGAAGATGTAGCAACAAAAATCTCTTTAGTTGTTGTCATGCGTTCAGATTGGTTCTGATATTTGAGAGTTGTGAAAGCTTTAGCACCGAATGCAGAAAGGAATCTGTAAAGAATGGTGAATGATGCCTCAGAGGATGCGAACAATGAAGAATATCAAACTTGGAGATAAGATATTAAGATGTGTAGGCCATCATGGGGCCAAAATAAATTGCATATTGATGAATAGGATGCTTGTTGAATCTTGCCACTAGTACGGGTGTAAACGAATCTAAACAAACCAAATATTCTTATATTTAAGTTTGGTTGATTATTTTGTTTAAGGTTAACTTGTTTATTTCTCGAAACAAATTCGAACAAACTTTTATTGAGTTTGAGATCAAGTGATTTGACTATTTTATATGTAAAATTTCACTTTTATGCTAATCGAGTTGAACTGAAAAGTTTATAAAATAAAAAAGATTGTCACAATTTGATTTGATTAGTTAGTAATTGAGCTGAACTCAATTTGAGTATCGCAGCTTGATTCGTTTTTCAATCCTAGCCACCAGCTTTTTCTCATTGTCAAAATGTTAAATAACAAGATGGTAACAAAAAAAAAAAATCACACCATTCGTAGACGGTAAATTTGATAAAAGGACACACACACATATATAGGCAGGAAGCGCATTTTGACAACCAAAAAAAACAAAACAAAAAAAAGAAGTTATGTACAGATTAGACTGAACAAGCTGCAGGCCAAATATTGCTGGAAACAGTACATCACAGTATTCACAGAACTGACATTGAAGTTTTCATCATACACACGCTTACACCATCGGTGCTCTGTGTAACTACTTAGAAGGAGCACAAGAATTCCTTCTCAGTGTAACTACTTAGAAGGAAAAAAAAAAAAAATACACTCATTGGTGTAGCAATAGACAACAATGAACAGCACTATCAATTCAGAAAAGTCTTTCTCGTAGAGAAAATCAACTATCAAAATGAAACCAACAACGTACCTGTTGTATGACAATTGACAACTTGCATAAAAGCTAAATGGTGCTCTAGTTCTGAATCACCTCTGTGTTCACTGAAACCAGAACTACCTAGAGAGAAGAAGAAGAAGGAAAGATTTTTACAGCCTAACATTGATAACAACAACCAAAGATTTTTACAGGGAACTTCTCATTGACTCGTTGGTGTAGCTAGTAAAATATTTTGCGTCTTCTATTCCAAAGACAAGATGCTATATGCATCAGAAGTAGGTAGAGCTTTAACTCTTCTTTTCTCCCAAGGAAATGAATACAGCAGAATATTAGCTGGGAAAGGATACTAGAATCATCTTTCTGGAAGTCCAGATTTGCAACATTGATAATCGCATAAAACCAGTAAAGAAAAGCAAAACAGGAAATATCCAGATGGGTATTAGTGATTTAATTTCTGATTAAGTAGAGAAACAAATTAGTAGCAAAAACCTTACCTAATAGTTTAACAAGGAGATATTAAGCTGATGGAAGGATGTCTAATGCCACTTCCTTGAGGGATGGCATCAAATCCTGCTGATGCAAGCAAATATATCCCTTTCTTGTTCTCCTAAGCACTTTCCATGGGCCAGGGTAGCACCTGTGGTTGATCAAAGTAGTTTATAGAGAGCGAAATAGAGGGACAGCTTGTAACTTCATTTAATTTTTTTTTCGACAGAAGCAATAATCTTCCAAATCTGCATCCCTGATATTTTAACTCGAAAACTTATCTTGTAAAAGTTGAGAAAGAATACAGAAAACATCAGAACCTGAATAGAACTCCCCCTTTGTGTCCTTTAAAATTGTGAATGTAGTATACAGTCTCCATTTTGGGCAAAAGAGTCTTGTTAAGTGCAGCCAGCTTTGGATAGAAGAATGGTGGATAATCTTTTCTTGTTTAAGGAGAAATTCTCTATGAGTGAAGCCAGTGAGATGCTGTCGAACGATTTGAAATCAACAACCTACTAGCAGAAGTTCCTAATACTCCAAAATTTTCTAATAATTTGAATCAGAATAAAGGTTATTTGTTTTGAAGATACAATAAAATGTATTATAATTTTCAAAACTTTCTGCTTTAGCATCATAAATGTCAGCAGTCTATGACTTGTAACAGTCTATCATGAAGTATAGAACACAAAATTGTACAAGAACTAACATCCTACACTACTAGTTAACTAAACATGCATAAACAAGGATACACCCTGATCTTATCCGGTCAAGTTCTCCATTAAATATGATCAGTTTCCGAGAGGTGCTTACCACAGCCTCTTTGTACAGTTCTTCGACCACAAGCATTTCTGTGTTTCACAAGATAAAGGGCATACACTTGAAATTAAGTCAAAGTGGCGAAAAAATTGAAAAGAGGAAACTTTAAGGCATGGAAATAAAATGAAACATAAAAGTCGTCTTACCACTGACATTAAAGTATGGATAAGCAACTAAAAAAAGCTCATCTTCTGGCTTAACTCGGTCAGCCATCTTAACTTTTTCAACAAAACCAAAGTCCTCAAAAAATGACGGCTTTGTCAGATAATCCAACTTAAATGAGACTCCCCCAAAAACTGAATTTCTTGCAAATTGAACTTCCTTAGCCTCTGGGAAGAACTGTTTAGTATAAGAATGTAAGACAAAGTTGAGAAACCAGAAACAAAATTAAATAAACAAGAAGATGGCTTTTTCAAGAAAAATACAGCATTCCATCTTTAAGTGCATTCAAAACAAGTTTGGCATAATATCTGGTGGCAAAAATGATATTTCAAAAGCTGATCATAAAGGAGATGCTCCAAAAGGCAGGAAATCCTTGCTTAACAAGCCATGTTCCTTAAAACAGGAAATTGGTAACGTAACTGTTTCTTCATTCAAACCCATTTCGGAGCTAATTTTGGTTTATTTGCTGCTTAGTCTTCCCTATCACTTTGATATTTTTGATTTTCAGTCTTCCTCCAACTGCAGCGCAAGAAACCCATTAACCAATGTCCGAAACCATCTTAACCACATTCTAATCAATTTGTCTCCATGGAGCTGATTCCATACTCCAATTACTATACAACAAATTGCAAGTACAACTGCACCTCTAAAGAAATGTGAAGATCCATCAGGTCAATAACAATTATTTTTTTCATTTCAATTTGATACACAAAATACAAAATAACTTAAAAATTTGCTCTATGAAATATAAGTGAACATATGGGAAATATGAGTGTCATTGACTACTTTGAAACTGAAATTGCGCAAATATTTGTTAAAGTTCAAACCATACTATTCTGGTTCTTGTGGCTTTCTCAGGAGTTATGAAGAGGTCACAGAACTCACGGATTAGTTCCATACTTTCGGTCATTTCTATACCCCCTTCACCATCACCTGATACAGACATGATTTTGACGATTGTTATGAATTTTATGGAACATGTAATAACATGGGATGTAGCAATTGACAGAAAATGATAATAAGTAGTTTCATAGATGAAAATTAAGTAAACAGCAAAGGATCGTATAACCTGGCACAGATCCCAATCCAGCAGTAGGAAATTCAATTTCCTGTGGCAGAAACTCGTTGCTCACAAACTATGCAAACTGTAGAGGTTCCTTCATGCCTATTATCATTATGACAAAATTTATATAGCAACTCACCATGAGCTGCCTGTTGTCCTTCACAGCTAATTCAGTTGCCTCTTTAGCCTGTCATTTATAAAGGCCCTTGGATTAAACTGCAGAATGGTGATAAAAGATCGAAAAATGATGAAAAGAAAAGAATGTAAGAAGACATATCCCTCCTGTAAAGCCACTAGAAAAAGAAAACTATTTGAGTTGGATTAAATCAACTGCAGAATGGAAACAGTTTCCAGTCAATTTAATGGTCGTGGCTAAACTTTATTCAAACAAAGTGATATCAAATGACCAAATTCAGGATTTGATATGGGAAGTATAGTCCACCTATTTCCCCTATTGAAACCTAATTTATGCCATGTTTAATCATACTAAAGAGGAACCTAATCATACAAACTGCTTAGTTGAAACAGCAGATTTATTATGCATTAACACAAGTCTGAAAAGCACTCTATTAGAAATGGCAATCAGAAGCCTGCATCAATGAAGGAAACTAACTAGGTAGAGCATTCCAGAAAGCAATTCATAGTATCTCTAGGAAAGATCAGCAAGGGTCTAGTTCAACTTTATGTTCCATATGAAGCTGCCTTGCTAGGAAAGTAAATGTAAGATACCTGCTAAAAAGTATATCAGAAATGCACAGAATACCTTTCAGATAAATTTACCGTGATACTACTTTCACAAGTTTATATTGTCCAATCAGAAAAATGAAATAGTATGCAAACAAAACTTTTAGAAGCCTTAACAAGAATTCTGATTGCCTTATTCCTTGAAATCAAGAGAATGTAATTTTACAGAATATGTGTGCATATATCATCATGACCGCAGGCAAACAATATGATCTACAAAAAGAAACTAAAATGAAGCTTGAGATTGTTAAATTTTTTCTAAAGTAAGCAAAAAGGGGCTCCAGCCACCGACACCCACCACGCCAAGTTTAACTCAACCTGAATAAGATATGTACAGATTGTAAATGTGTTTATTATAATTGTTCTTTTTACCAAATAACCTCTACTTCCTACTGTAATTAAGATTATATAGCATCCACTTGTAAATTCTGCACGAAAAAATGCATGTATATCCCTTAGAAAAAAAAGAATCTAGTTCAATATCAAGCTATGTGGATTAAATGTTGACCAAGAACGTACTGAACCATCGCCATGCGGTGTGTAACAGGCATAAAGACTTAAACAGCAATAATTGCATTTGGTTCCTGACTAAATAAAGATAAGTGTGATTGAAAACTCAAGGGAAGACTTGCATTTCAAATTATGCATCCAATAAACGGCTGTGACAAATGTTACAGTCGTCAGTTTCTGGAAGGTAGAACAACGAGAACAATCCACTGGTAGTTTCAGCCTATTATGGTGCCTTGGTCATACATGGTTCAAGTTGAGCTTTCATTTTTCTCTTATCTATTGATTTTGAGCCTTTGTATCAAGTATTCTTGTGAGAAACAGATAGATGTCTTAGTGGTAAAGTACCTTTACAAGGATAAATGGTAGTTAAGATCAGTGCCCTAACAAAGATGCACAAACAAGTAAAATATCGCAATGCATGAAAATTTTTTCAGTCACAGTACCAGCCACAAAGAGTTTGGCATCATCAGTAATGATCTCATTCTTGTAACCTCTAAATGATACTGTACCACAAGGAAGGAACTACTTCTTTAAAGTTTTATTTGGATAAAAAAACTACAAACATCTAATATCGGATGAAGAGTTAGAGGAACTCATCTAACCATTCAATGATTACATTCATAGCTTACTAAGATTCCAAGCTCATTTCACATCTCTTCAACAAGACTTTGCTAAATCTTCGCACCTAAAAAAAAAATCCTTTTCTTGGATCATGAACTTGAAGGAATAATAGGAAACTAAGCTGATCAACAGTTTTAACTTATAAAAAATGACTTGTACATAATTATGGACCACCATGAATTGAAGATTTAGAACACATAAGCAATAGTCCCATTCATTAACTTCTCTCTGGTTTTCTTCTCCTCTTCCCGCTTTATTTATCAAAAAACATTTATTGGTTTATATTTCTGAGACCAAAACAAGAAACTGAAGGCAATATCCAGAGAGAACAGAACAAATTGACTTTGATTGTTCTTGCAATAAGACTTAAATCACAATTCAAAAACTAAATGCTTAATTTTCTTCTCTTGATCAACAACTAAAGTTACCAAAGAACCCATTTCCCATTTTCTTTTTTCTTCACATTTCGAAGTTCAAAAATAAAACTGAAATCATTTTCACAAAGAATGAAAAGAACTAAAGAAAGCATCTAAATTCAAAAAATCCCAGTACCCTGAAAAGGGAAAAGACTATCAGAAACTCACTTGTTGAAGAAGCTCAGCATAATCCTTGGGAAATTGTACATCAAATCCAACCGATGGACTGCTCTCTCTAGATGCTGAATTTATTGCAAAATCACCATTTCTTGATTTCCTGTTAAAATGAATTCTTCCACTGCAGACGTTCACTTCTTTCTTTATCGAAAACCATCTCTGACAAGAGCCCTGCAATTATTTTCAAGAAATCATACAAACACCCAAAAGGGTACACTAATTGAAATAAAAATGATAATTCTAAGCATTACTTATGCGCTGTATAAAAAGCAGAAAGTGAAATTTTGCATCAAGAATCATTTTGGCTTGAGTGGAGCTTTGGAGGATAATAATTATAGTCGTTTATTAATTATTTATTAATTTTGGAATAACTGATCAACTGTTATCGGTTGCCCGATTAGAATTAGCAATCATAACCTTTGGTTTTGAATGAGAAGGAGATGAGAATGGAAGAGCAGGAGCCGTTGGGGAAGTGGATAACGGCATTTTGAAATTGGAAACCAGCCACAAGACAGCTAGCGTCTAAGCCCAAAGTGAATCAATATATTCTTTTGTTTTTCCCCGTTTTTTCCTTGCAAAAGTTATTACCAAGGTTTCCCATTAAATTTATTTTTGTTGTGAACGTAATAATATATCTATAGTGGTAGTGATTTGTATTTTAAATTCAATACTAGTAAAGCTATACAGTAAAGAAAGAGTGAAGTACAGATAATATTTCTTTTAGAGCCAATGGCGTTATTGATTATTGATCTCTTTATAAATTTTAATGTTGCTCGTTGAATTTTTTCTTTAGCTAAACTAGTCACTCAACTTATTGAAACATATATTTTTTGACCAAAAAGGTGTACGTCTTCATTAGTTGAGTGACAAAAAATTTATGTTTTTATTAGTTGTGTGACAAAAAACACGATATTCTATTACTTGGGTGACCAGTTTAGCTAAATAAAAAATTAGTGGTTAAAACGAGGATTATCAATAATTTAGCGACTATTTTTGCAATTTACTCTTTCTTTTATTCTTTTTTTGATAAATGTACAATGAGGTTTCTAAATCTACTATAGGTGAGACAACGCCATAACTACATGTATCTTTATTAATACAATATATGAATTTAGAAGTTTCATAAATGAATTAACGAATTTCAAGAACTATATGAATGTATGATGTGTCAATCAACCTTCAAGGGAGACCAAGGTACTGATATATCATGCTAGGGGTTGAATGGACATGGACGCTTATCTATTTATCAATTTTAAAATATTACCCCATATCCATTACATAAAGAATATCTTGTTATAGCCTTTTCTTTTTTTTTTTTAAAATCCAATTGGAAAAACCCTAGTAATATTTTGTCAACGCATGCTTTGGGTTGTTCTCCAGACACAGGATGCGTTTAGTGTCTATCTCCTTCTCATTTTTTAATTTCTGTGCTTCTTAATGACGTACTTAAACTAAAAACACGCAGAATGGTGTGTGCTGCATATAATATAATCAAGTAACGGAATCTTTGTTTGTATACACTGATAGTATATAAATTAGTAGGTATAGATGCATGTCACATGTACAAAATTAAAGTTTAAATTCAAATTTGAATTAAATGGCATGCATCTATTTCCGCTAGTGTATGCACTGACTTGTTTGTATACATTGATGGTATATAAATTCGTAGGTATAGATGCATGTCACATGTACAAAGTTAGAGTTTAAATTCAAATTTGAATTAAGTTGCACGCATCTATTTCTGCTCGTATATACACTGACAGTCTGACTGACAGTGTACATAAAATTAATCCAAATTGTTATATCACTTAAATTAACAAAGGATGAAAACACTAACAAAGGACCGGACCAAATCAGAGGCAGATAATATAGTTTTTGGGCTAATAGCCACACAGCTTGCACGCGACTTACTTAGCTTGTATTTCGTGAAAATATACATCAATTGTCCAACTTTGATCGAAATTGAGAACATTTCAAAATGACAATTATTTTAGTAGAAATTTTAGAGACGAAGTCCCCAAACATTTGGGACCAAACTTTAATTAGCCATAAAGGTAGAGGGTAAGCACATAAATTACAGAGGATTGACCCACAATAAATTTTAAACATTATCATCCACCCTTAAATTACGTAAAATTTTGTTGGAACCCTATAATTATTGCTTCAATCACACATATTGCTTGAGGTAGTCCTCAATTTTGGTGTACTTGACTTCAGGATACAGTTTGGATGCCTCTTCCCCTTCATCTCCTATCTCAAAATTTGTAAGGCATCCTTCATAGCAGACGTGATAATAATGAGTTAATCCAACTTGCTCCGCATAATCAAGTCCTGCTCCAGAGGAAAATGTAAACAAGAAGAAGGAAGTCCAATGGTAATAAATAACTTGAGTGAGCTATGCGAAGTATGAATCTACTGGAAAAAAAAAATGCAGAACTGCTAGAAATCACAATGGAGTTGCATGATCTATAGAAATCTTGAAATTATTATAACACATAGCGCTAGTAGTTCAATTATTAATACACGAAAATTGAAACAAGGAAATTTGTTGGCCCTTAATATCTTCTAAATTTTAATCAAGAGAAATAAGATTGCTACATGCTTGCAACTATTATTTTCAATCCGTTACGTTTTCCATGTTATATTATATAAGTACTTTTACTTTTTTGGAGACTTGTTATGATTACAGATCTACAACGATTACCATTCTTGTCAAATTGCATTAATTTGATCCTAAGTTTCATGACATTTTTCATTTATGTTAAACTCCAAATTGTTGGAAAATTTTCAATTATAATTTCAAGTTGTGTTGACAAGATTATAGACAAAAGGAGATATAAAAGCTGAACTATAGGGACAAAAAATAGAGTAAATGAAAACTATAATAAACAGTTTTTCAAAAACTAGATTTTTAACTACTATAAAAATTTTTAAAAAGTAGTCTAAATTTTTTTTAATATTTAAAAATATTCCAAAATATATTCTAAAATTCTGCTACAGTAAAATTTTTCAAAACACTCCAAAAAATAGTTAATCCAAACGGAGCCTTTTTTTTTAATAAAAATAAAAAAATCACCTAGAAATGGTAGGGGGTTAAGCATAGACTCTGATTTGTTTATTAAAACAGATTATTGAGCTTAATTGTAATGCAGTTAAAATTAAAATGATAACTTTTCTGGGATTATGACAATAAATCATTTGAAGTACCTTTGATGGAAGCCAAAAATTCTTCCTTGGTTATGGATGACTTTTTCAGTTCTTTCCCTATTAGCTTTTCCCATAATTGGACCACCTCTCTTTGTGAAAGTATGTTTTGAGGTGGCCTTAGGTAAAGTGTTTTGTTCAGTGTCCTTGGATCATCTATGGTTTTGATTGTGTAGGTGGCTATGTCGTCTTCATCAACATAAATTGCTGCAAGAAAAAGACAGTGGCACCAGAATAGAGAAACCAGCAAACAATTAGAAGGGAACAAAGACATCAATGATAATGATACGAGGGACCGCGCAAGGCGAAACAAAAGAAATGGTAGAAGAGTAAAAAGAAAAGAGAGACTGGCATAATTGCACCCTACGGCAAGAATCAAAAGTAACACAGGAAAATCATCAACTTAAAATTAAACTTGCAAGAGAAGTCCATAAACCTAGAAAAAGTAATTGCAGCAAATACCTAATAAATAATTTACTTGCATTTGCCTTGGCCCAAAACTCTGAAGTTTCACATAATTCTTTCAACTAGCAGCTTTACTTAAAAATAAATAAATAAATCTATAAATTTTAGGATAATTCATTTTAACTTTTTTACCACATTAACATATATAATATGATGTTCTTCATTTTTTTTTAAGCGTAAGTGGGAGGTCCCGGTTTCGAATTCGGGACTTCTCACTTATATTTCTTTTCTCTATACTTATCCAACTCATCTCTCTTCTCTATAATGTTCTTCATTTAAGTTGTAATAAGTGGGTATGCCCTGATTTTACTATATAAAATCTCTAATAGATAAGGAATCCTTGTCTACTTAAGATTTTCTGTAAAATGGCATCCAGACCATTTTAAAGGGTTTACACGCATGAAGATGATAACAGAGTCCCAGTCTATACTTCAGTTAACAAAATTATCAGAAATTTACGCCGGAAATTTTTGAGACTACTGTCTAAGCTTTAGTTCAAACTTGTAACTTGAGCAAACCCTAGTCAAAATTCCACAACTTCTCCAATGTATCTACTTTAATTTTAGAGTTCAGACACAAGTCCAATTGTGGGATAATTGATTCTTGATGTTCTACATATAGTACGAGTTGAGTACCTTTTTGGTTTCCATCTCCAAGGAGGAGTACAGAATCCTTTGATGGCAGAATTTTACCAGGTTGGCAAAGACCTCCAATAAAGTATCCTGCAAAGCAATTGGCTGAAACATACGTGAAAGGAATCCCAGCTTCTTCAATAGCTTTTCTTACCACCATTTTATCATCAAACGTGACCCTTCCTGGCTCCATAGCATCGCCCATTCTTGCGGGATCAGTACCAAACTCAGATGGCAAAAATCTCTGTGTTGCATTTCACATGTCAAGGCTATATATGTATATGTATTGAGGGGGGAGCAACAAGGGGGCCAGCAGGGGCAGCCCCACCCCAAGTTGTGGCAAAACCATTTAATCCCAGAAAGACCAACCTCCACCCCCCCCCCCCCCCCCCCCCAAACACACAACAAAAACAACCAATCAGAAAACAACCTAGCTTTGGCCTTGAAAAAGAATCTTAACTTCTTTCAAAAAATTTTGGTCTGCTATCTAATTAGTTGATCTATAAAATTTAAATTCGTATTATTTTAGTATCGGATAATATCTTTTTAAGGTCATATAGATTGTTTCCCAAAAACTTCTCTTTATGAACATGTAATAATGAACATTTGGTGCTTATTAGCAATTGCGGTTGTGTACTTTGAACTAGAACTTGCAATTTTAAACTAAAATGTACGTTAGAAGTTAGAGATGTGAGTAGTTGTATAAATTTGTTACAATAATTCAAATATTCTTATAAACTGTGTTTCGGGGACTCGATTTCTCTGCTGCTTTATTAAGATTATTGTGATCATAAACAATCTATTGTTATAGAACTTTTTTTCAAACATATTTTAGTTCAAATTGCAATTAAATATCAAAACTGAGGCATTAATTCAAAAAACGGAAAAATTGACATAATATTTAATATTTTCAAATTACACACATAAAAAAAATTTTCTACACTTGTAGTTTTGCCTCCCCTCCTACTCAAAATTCCTGGCTCCACCACTGCATATGTTACAAGCCAAATGAACTACAAAAAGACAAATCCTAGTCATTTATGCTTAATAGTCCTTCTATTTCCTCTTGGACGGAGAATTCTCTATTTTCAGCCTCCCAAGTACTCGTTGGACTTTTTTGCTATCCTTCCTCTTCTAAAACTTGAAGAAACCATTAAAATGGCATAATAACAGGGACTCAAACAATCAATAATTGGCACGAGTAGTTA